AAAAAAAAAAAAAAAAAAAGAGTGCCCTAATGTAATATATTACAAAACACTCTTCTTTATTATTATCAAATATAATATATAATTTTTCTGAAAATTAAATTATGTTAATTATTCATAATTATTACTCATAATTTTATATTTCATAACTCAACATAATAAACATAAACTAAATCTAACAACTTTAAAATTTTAAAAATAATAATATATCCATAATCTCACTATCTCAGTCACCGCACTCTAGATGACTAGAATGAATTGAATAACGGCAAATATTATGCATTAGAAAACAAAAACGTTATGAATCATGATCATTGAGTTACGTGGCCAGCAAGATTATGTTAAGTCATGGAACATTCTCCTAATTTTGCTTTGGTGAGCGGCAGAAACTAGAAAGTAGATAGTAGTTATTTGCATCAGACAAATCCGAATTAATGAATTCCATTACGATTGCGCAACACTTGCAAAGTCGTCATGTTACATTGAGACACCTAAGGTGACCCACTAATATAGAAGTTGTGAATTGTGATTTATAGTTTCATTACACAACGTTGTCATGTCTATGCCACATTCTGTTCTCCACTCCATTCATCACAATGGGGAAGAAGAAGGAGAAGAAAATGAAGGCAATTCCAAATCCAATTGATTGTATACCCAAATATTCACCCAAGAAGCTATCCAATCAAACCCCGCGCTGATTTCTCTGTGCTTACATGCACTCCCTCCTTATTTAATCCAGGTACTGAATTGCCTAAGTTGGTTAGTATGGTAGTTTGTAATCTTTTAGGTATTTGATTGCCTATAACTTCTTTGATGTTTGCATGGTTGTGCTATGAATAAAAGTATAGATTAATGCTTGTGGCTTTGGGAAGTTGAATGATATGACAATGGAATGAAATTATGATTTAGTTTAAGTCACACTGAAAGAATTTATACCTGACTGTTTTTAGTGTTCCAATTATGGACATATCTGTTAGAGGCAAAAGTGTATAATGATTCTTTTGTGGCATTGACAAATAACTAATGACACTCTTCGAAATCTTACAATAACTCCTTGCTTTTACAATTTGTATACAAAATAACATCCCAATACTTTTTAAAGTTGTATATCTTCATTGACCTAGAAGCTTCTCATAGACATTATAAGAATTTAATTGAGTTATTTGATTTAATAAAAGAAAAAGAGAGAGATGAATTCACTGCATCTAATTTTATAGATGTAATACTCTATCTGTGTTGATGTTTTCAATCATGGAAGTTCGACCGAAAATTTGTTGATTTTTTTTTTTTTTTGCAACTTATTTATTCTCAGAAACAAACTATTCTCGTAAATAACCTCAAACCCAAATAAAGAAGCCTTTTCTCTCCCTCAAAGCATCTTGACTCATGTTCAATTCAACTTATTTTGGATAAAAAACCAATAAATTATCTTGGCTTCGTAAGAGAACTTCTAAAAATTTGAATGATTAGTTCTCCTGAATGAATCTTTACAAGACACGTGATCTATGTAATGAGATTTGAATTGAATTGTCTACTTCATTGGGATTTGAACCCAAGATCCCTGTGTCACAAGAAGAGTTCGTGCCTATGGTGCTGAGGTCCTTTTGGTTTTTAAATTATGGAATTCTGTTTAATGTATTCTTAACCTTTCAACCGGTCACTTTCTTGCAGATTCGTCGTCATATACACATTCTAGAGTACTTAGATTGTCCAATTCCAATGCAAATAGTTTACAGGAGAGGGGAGTGGAAGAAAAACAATTTTCAGCTGGTACACTGGTCCAACGTAACTATTTCCAAAAGCATAGATCAGTGTGTTCATCCGAATTTTCTGATGTTCTGGTTAAGGAAGTCAAGTTCCGCTGTCCAAGATGAAAGTCTCAATCATGGGATCTACAGGCATGCTGGTAGAAATAGGTGTCCTGATTCTATACAGGGATGCTAATAATGAAAAAACTAACCTAAGCACGTTCCCTTTTAACGACAGAAATTCTCTTGTAATTCCTGGAAGTGTAATATGGGCTAGAACAGATAATCAAATTCGGTGGCCTGTTGAGGTATTATATCTGGTTGTATCTTGTCATGTTGCTTGTTTCTGCCACAATATAAGTGCTTGTTTTGTGATTGTGAGTAGACCAATTTGACATGAAAATGATCTGTTGACAAAGGTCTTATAAGCTAGATAATTGAATACTCTAACCTGTTGTTGACCTCTTTTCTCTTGACATTTTGGGCGAAAGAATTCCATGCAGAAGGATCTTGATTTTACATAAACTTTACCCAAGTTTTTTAGTGATCAATAGAAGACATTTGAAGATGTAACATTTCCTTATCTTGCAAACAGGAGAACCTACTCTTACAAAGTTATACATCAGTTTAAGTCTCATAATCTTTATCTTTCATCCTCTTGCTGTATTTAAATAGTAATATAAGAAACTTCAACACTTGCTGATGTGAATACAAGAAAAAGAGCAGCAGCTCTGCTAGACATTTTTCTTCTCCCTTGGAACTCTATATGTTAAATTTACAAATATTGATGGTGGAATCTGTTTCATTACATAAGCAAAATGATAACATTTTAGGTCAAAACTGACTTTTCTTTTGGGAAGAGCCGATGTTTCTGCCATTCTTTTTTTTGTATTTCCTAAATGATTCATCCATATTAAATTTATAAAAGGAAAACTGAATTTTTCAGATCATGGAAGAAAGATCCACAGTACCTGTTCCAGCCTCTGATGGACATGTTCTAGTGCAGTTTTATGGAAATTGTTCCAGGTATTATAACATGTTTTTATTAAAAAAAATAAAAAATTGTCTTGCCAGCTTAGCTGTAACTCTATGGAAGTTTCTTGGATTTCCTTAAACTCTTTTTTTGCTATGCAATATTACATTTTCAATTTACAGTGCTTGGATTAATCCAATGACAGATGTTTCTTCGTTTGAGGATGTAAGTGTAATCTTGGCCCTCCACCATGTTTTCTCCTATATAAATTTGTTGTATTTAGAAGTTCCTGTTTCTATTTTCATTTTGATCACTTCTAAGTAGCAATGAGAATTGAGAAAGAAAAAAAGGGGTTGGGGCAAGCCGGGTGCTAGGGAGGTGGACCGAGAATTATTGGTTATGAATTTAACTGTTACCAACGGTGTCACGACTTCTTGTGGATTATTTCAGTGAACATATTGGTTGTAAAGTGAATCAGGAGGGTGTTTTCAATGTTCTATTTGTCTAAGCAGGTTGCAATTTTCAACAACAATAAAGGAGATAGTAATTAAATTATATATTATCAACTTCTCATTTTTATGCACGAATTTTATTTCAGTCTTTTGAAGCAAGGAGCACCCACTCTTCTAAAGATTTTCACAAGGCTCTAAAACATGTATGTTTTGATCTAAGATAGAAAATTGATATGTTTTGACTCCTCTACATCTAACAATTTCATTCCCCACTTCCATTTTTCTTTTTCTGTTTTTTACTTCTAGAAACAATATTTCATTTTTCCTTTCGTTTGGTATAATACCAGGCCTTACGGAGGAAGGAACAACTTAGTTCTTGCATTAGATCGAGTTCTGATAGGCGTTCCCACTGCAATCGGCAAAATCATTCATCTGGAATGTTCTATCTTATTTCATCACAGAATCATGTTTTAGACAGAAAGGCACATATAACAGGATAGGAAACTAATGTATTACCGAATCTTACGATGGCTTGATCATATTCAATAAGTAAGTTTGGTCTCAAAACAGTTATTCCATTTAATGAATGAATGGATTTGCTATTTTAACCAGCTCTAGTGTCTATTCTTGCTTGTGCAATTAAAACTTCCTTTGATAAAGATTCCTATTTATTAAATTATTTCTTTTTCCCATTTAGCCCATCAGTATATTCAAAATGTTTCCGTTGCATGTTCAAATATAGTCACTACATGGAATAACATCATTGATGCAGTAAATATATCATTCATTACACATCATAATACAGTATTCCTTTTTCAAATAGAGTCGTAGTAAGTTGTGCTAGTGCATTTTTCAACCTAAATTATTAAACTTTTAAGGACTCCGTTGTACCTTTGATGCTACTGGGTGATTTATTTGTTTTGTTTCTCCCATGCCCATTTTATTATTGATTTATCATTTAAAGTTTGAACAGATAAAAGAACTTCATGCACCTCAAGCGCTACAGTGGATGATTTTCTATTGAGAGGAAGGGGCAAAAGGGAACGTAAACGCAAGGTTCATTTTGATGTGAGTTGCTACGTCAAGACTGTAGAAAAACTAAGAGAGACGAGTAATACTAGTATTGGAGGATTTTGCTGGGCTTTAGGCCCGAGGTCAGTTGTGACTTGTTTAGATAGCGGTCATTGTCTTGACCGACGTCGCCTAGCGCGTGTCCGAGGTTGACTTGCGCTGTGATGCCGAGCTTGAGCTCGGTATCGCGATACGGATAGTACAGTATATAAGTGATAAAGACCCACCTACCTAATACCTTAAAATCTTAGGTTATGTTGTGATGTCAAGCTCACTTGTGTGTCTTGCTCACTATTCATTGTGTGGAGTGCTTCCCAATGTTAAAACTCCCCCAACAAGCAATTAACAATTCTTTCACTACACCAAAATTAGGTTTTTGTGACAATTAATTTATTCTTTAGCGACCATATAAATGGTCATTATTTTTTCAATTGTCTCCTTTCCATCCATTTAGTGACTTTTGTAAGATGAAGGTTGTCTTCTATTTATATATTTTTTAATTTATTTTTTTAATTGTCTTATCTCTTAAGAGATGTGAGATTTATAAGGTGAAAGTTGCTCTCTAATTGTTTTATAGTACTATTGAACTTGGTAATAGTGGGTGATTTGATACTAATTTATTATAGTGAATTAAGAGTCTAACTCAACCCTATAAATTAACTTATAAGGTGATAGTTATTACTCACTTATATATTATTTAATTATCTTATCTCTAATCGATGTGGGACTAATTTTTTTAAATAAATAATTGTCGCTAATAGTAAACTTTAGTGTAATATAAATACACTTTTAGTGGCTATTATATATTAGCCATTAATATTTTTATTATATAATTAAATAGCGGAGATCGGTCGTAGGGACGATCTGCTGAGTAAGATCGGTGAGCTTCCTTCGCTGGGTACGATTGTTGTTCTAAGGCGGGGGTGGTACCTACAAAAGAGACTCCGATGCTAAAGTTAGTGTTTGTGGATGTATATGTCTCGTATAAGTAATGCACGTACCTTAATGTGAATTAGGATTTTGCTGGGCTTTAGGCCCGAGGTCAGTTGTGACTTGTTTAGATAGCGGTCATTGTCTTGACCGACGTCGCCTAGCGCGTGTCCGAGGTTGACTTGCGCTGTGATGCCGAGCTTGAGCTCGGTATCGCGATACGGATAGGACAAGATATAAGGGATAAAGAACCCCCTATTGTCTTATCTCTTAAGAGATGTGAGATTTATAAGGTGAAAGTTGCTCTCTAATTGTTTTATAGCACTATTGAACTTGGTAATAGTGGGTGATTTGATACTAATTTATTATAGTGAATTAAGAGTCTAACTCAACCCTATAAATTAACTTATAAGGTGATAGTTATTACTCACTTATATATTATTTAATTATCTTATCTCTAATCGATGTGGGACTAATTTTTTTAAATAAATAATTATCGCTAATAGTAAACTTTAGTGTAATATAAATACACTTTTAGTGGCTATTATATATTAGCCCTTAATATTTTTAAAACTAAATCTAACAACTTTAAAATTTTAAAAATAATAATATATCCATAATCTCACTATCTCAGTCACCGCACTCTAGATGACTAGAATGAATTGAATAACGGCAAATATTATGCATTAGAAAACAAAAACGTTATGAATCATGATCATTGAGTTACGTGGCCAGCAAGATTATGTTAAGTCATGGAACATTCTCCTAATTTTGCTTTGGTGAGCGGCAGAAACTAGAAAGTAGATAGTAGTTATTTGCATCAGACAAATCCGAATTAATGAATTCCATTACGATTGCGCAACACTTGCAAAGTCGTCATGTTACATTGAGACACCTAAGGTGACCCACTAATATAGAAGTTGTGAATTGTGATTTATAGTTTCATTACACAACGTTGTCATGTCTATGCCACATTCTGTTCTCCACTCCATTCATCACAATGGGGAAGAAGAAGGAGAAGAAAATGAAGGCAATTCCAAATCCAATTGATTGTATACCCAAATATTCACCCAAGAAGCTATCCAATCAAACCCCGCGCTGATTTCTCTGTGCTTACATGCACTCCCTCCTTATTTAATCCAGGTACTGAATTGCCTAAGTTGGTTAGTATGGTAGTTTGTAATCTTTTAGGTATTTGATTGCCTATAACTTCTTTGATGTTTGCATGGTTGTGCTATGAATAAAAGTATAGATTAATGCTTGTGGCTTTGGGAAGTTGAATGATATGACAATGGAATGAAATTATGATTTAGTTTAAGTCACACTGAAAGAATTTATACCTGACTGTTTTTAGTGTTCCAATTATGGACATATCTGTTAGAGGCAAAAGTGTATAATGATTCTTTTGTGGCATTGACAAATAACTAATGACACTCTTCGAAATCTTACAATAACTCCTTGCTTTTACAATTTGTATACAAAATAACATCCCAATACTTTTTAAAGTTGTATATCTTCATTGACCTAGAAGCTTCTCATAGACATTATAAGAATTTAATTGAGTTATTTGATTTAATAAAAGAAAAAGAGAGAGATGAATTCACTGCATCTAATTTTATAGATGTAATACTCTATCTGTGTTGATGTTTTCAATCATGGAAGTTCGACCGAAAATTTGTTGATTTTTTTTTTTTTTTGCAACTTATTTATTCTCAGAAACAAACTATTCTCGTAAATAACCTCAAACCCAAATAAAGAAGCCTTTTCTCTCCCTCAAAGCATCTTGACTCATGTTCAATTCAACTTATTTTGGATAAAAAACCAATAAATTATCTTGGCTTCGTAAGAGAACTTCTAAAAATTTGAATGATTAGTTCTCCTGAATGAATCTTTACAAGACACGTGATCTATGTAATGAGATTTGAATTGAATTGTCTACTTCATTGGGATTTGAACCCAAGATCCCTGTGTCACAAGAAGAGTTCGTGCCTATGGTGCTGAGGTCCTTTTGGTTTTTAAATTATGGAATTCTGTTTAATGTATTCTTAACCTTTCAACCGGTCACTTTCTTGCAGATTCGTCGTCATATACACATTCTAGAGTACTTAGATTGTCCAATTCCAATGCAAATAGTTTACAGGAGAGGGGAGTGGAAGAAAAACAATTTTCAGCTGGTACACTGGTCCAACGTAACTATTTCCAAAAGCATAGATCAGTGTGTTCATCCGAATTTTCTGATGTTCTGGTTAAGGAAGTCAAGTTCCGCTGTCCAAGATGAAAGTCTCAATCATGGGATCTACAGGCATGCTGGTAGAAATAGGTGTCCTGATTCTATACAGGGATGCTAATAATGAAAAAACTAACCTAAGCACGTTCCCTTTTAACGACAGAAATTCTCTTGTAATTCCTGGAAGTGTAATATGGGCTAGAACAGATAATCAAATTCGGTGGCCTGTTGAGGTATTATATCTGGTTGTATCTTGTCATGTTGCTTGTTTCTGCCACAATATAAGTGCTTGTTTTGTGATTGTGAGTAGACCAATTTGACATGAAAATGATCTGTTGACAAAGGTCTTATAAGCTAGATAATTGAATACTCTAACCTGTTGTTGACCTCTTTTCTCTTGACATTTTGGGCGAAAGAATTCCATGCAGAAGGATCTTGATTTTACATAAACTTTACCCAAGTTTTTTAGTGATCAATAGAAGACATTTGAAGATGTAACATTTCCTTATCTTGCAAACAGGAGAACCTACTCTTACAAAGTTATACATCAGTTTAAGTCTCATAATCTTTATCTTTCATCCTCTTGCTGTATTTAAATAGTAATATAAGAAACTTCAACACTTGCTGATGTGAATACAAGAAAAAGAGCAGCAGCTCTGCTAGACATTTTTCTTCTCCCTTGGAACTCTATATGTTAAATTTACAAATATTGATGGTGGAATCTGTTTCATTACATAAGCAAAATGATAACATTTTAGGTCAAAACTGACTTTTCTTTTGGGAAGAGCCGATGTTTCTGCCATTCTTTTTTTTGTATTTCCTAAATGATTCATCCATATTAAATTTATAAAAGGAAAACTGAATTTTTCAGATCATGGAAGAAAGATCCACAGTACCTGTTCCAGCCTCTGATGGACATGTTCTATATGATAACCCTCTTAGAATATAGTTTTTGTCAGCTGTATTAAATAATGAAAATTACCCTGAAGGAGGAGATGTTTCCATTGAAATCAGAAAAAAGGGCTTCTCAGTTAAAGATAATCTGGGCCTCGTAGCTCCAGTTGGCTCTCCATTTTGATCATGATTATGACTTGAGAGTAATGTATATGTCAGAATTTTTTAAGCTCTAGTTAGTTCTTCTATAATATATTTATAGTTCAAAAATTTGCTTCTACTAGTAATCATTATTTAATATCACTGTTTAGGTATTGGTTAACTAGTCTTATTTATTTCATATGTAAGAATCAGATCTCGAAGTCAAGGAATCAGATTATAATAACTGTTGATTAAAGATATTTTATTTCATTAAAGGAAATGTATTAAACTTGGCCGAGGAATATGATAATAATAAATGTTACATGGTAACGTGTGATTGAATGATAGTGTAAATTGATTAATGGTAATATCTAATTAGATGATAGTATAAAATTAATCTATAATAACATGTGATTGGATAATAGTATAAAATTGATTTACAAGTAATATGTGACTGGACTATAGTATAAAATTTATTTATATAGTTAGCTTAACTTCATTTTTCTCATGTTGCATTGTGGACTTGAAAAGTTTAAAAAAAATTATTTGTTAGGAAGAAACTTTTAAAACTTTATTTACATGAGTAATACATTTTGATTATGTTTAAAAATTGAAAAATTCAACACGGGAGATAATACCCACGTAAGTAAATTAGTGGGGACAATAATTTGTGAATTATATTTGAAATTATGAAGACAATTTATAATAATATAAACGTATTATATTAAGAGGCTTAAAAATTTTTGTGGAGGAATTTGCTTTCAATCTCCCAAAAATGCATCTGATTAATAACATCTATTTTAGTATATTTTTTATAAATATTTTTTTATTATTAATTAAAATTTATTAGAAATTATAAAATTGGTGCATTTTTTTTCTTAATAATCTTCTCTTTTAATTTTATAATTTATTACAAATTTTATGTGAGAAAAAGTATATATAGCCAGCACTCTCCCTACATAACTTGTTGATAATAAAAATATTTTATTAGCCACATCATGAGCTTTCTTTTACAAACATCATTTTTCTTACATCATTTTTCTTTTTGGCTGAAGAGAACGAAAGGAGGAGAAAAAAATTATAAAATTTTGTTCTTTGTTTAAGAAAAGAGAGAAGTAAAATTTTCTTCCTTTAATTTTAGTTCTATTTCAATTTTAAGGAAAAGAAAGGAGAGAGTAAAATTCATCATCTTAAGTTGATTACATTTGTTTTCTTAAATTCAACTTCAAAATATTATAAGTATAAAAATAAATAAATTTTTAAAATTATAATCTCTCCATATAAGATAAATTTTTTTTTTCTTTCCTTAAAATCTATTTCTTCTTCTCTCTCATTGTTTGGCTAGTGAAAATAAGTGAGAAATAGAAAGAAGTGAAAATGGGATAGTAAAAATGAGTCGAGTGATTTGATTGATGAAAAATAAGTTGGTGAGAAATTAAAAGTGGTGGTCCACTCCTTTTTATTTTTGCAGAAATAGCAAAAATATAGAGGGAGTAGTTTGTTTCATGTTTGGTGGTAGTTTTTAACTGTAATAATATTTTTCTATTTAATTCATGTGGTTACCAGATAGTCAATATAATGACCCACCATAATCTCTACATTTAATAGTTAAATTACTAGCAACGAAAATATAAATACAACTATCTAAGATTAACGTTAACATACACACAAAACCTGAATATACATATTATAATATATACATATGTAAAAGTTTTACAACTGAAATAATATAATAATTATACAAATATGTATAGTAATCTAGTATTGAAATAGTAAACCTAAATTGTCGTTCAAGCTACACAATTATAGAAAACTACCACATCATGGTAATACAAAACAACATCGCCATCCAACATGGCTTCCAATCGAAACGCCTCGTCCAGCTATCTTTGTCTTGCTCTCATACTAAGTATAATTATTGTAGTCCAACCATAAGAAAGCATACAAGGAGACCTACTACTCCTCATAGTGGAGCTTAGGGTGGAGTTTCAAGCATTTGATGTTATAGATGTGGAGGAGATCACTTCATTAGAGATTGTCCTCATGTGAACAATAAGTGCTTTAGATGTGGCCAATAAAGTCATATCTCTAGATATTGTATAGTAGAGGCTTCACAACCAAAAGGTATTTTGAGAGTTGAGTGACCTATTACAACTGGCAAAGTGTTTGCTTTATTAGGAGTTGAGGCTTCCACTTCTAACAATTTGGTGAAGAGGAAAGGGAAAGTTATTGGTAAAGATGTTATGATATTGTTTGATTCTAGAGTCACACATTCCTTTATCTCATTTGATTGTATAGGGAGGTTGGGCTTAACTATGAGTGCATTGAATGTTGATCTGATGTCTATTTTTCCTCCTACTTTTGTGTTTGTGGGTTGCTTTTGAGATGTGTATGATATGTCCAATTGAGGTGTATGGTAGAAGGTATAGGGTGAACCTAATTTGTTTGCCTATGATAGAGATTGGCATAATATTAGGTATGAATTGGTTATCTATTAATCACATTCTTATAGATTGTGTCAAGAGGGAGGTGCTTTTTCTAGAGGTTGAGAATGATCGGGTGGTGTTGACTAAGCAAGTAGATGATTTGTTTAGAGAAAGAGCTTAGTGCTTCATGTTGTTTGTTGTTATGAGTGTGGAGACTAAGAAGTTGATCAATGAGATTAAAGTGGTTAGAGATTCTCAAGAGGTGTTTCCAGTTGAAGTGTCACAATAATTACCTTCTATTGGGGAATTTGAGTTTAGTGTTGACTTGATTCCAAGTGCAAGATCAATGTCAATAACTCCCTATGGGATAACCCCAGCTGAGTTAGTTGAGCTAAAGAAGCAAGTGGAGGAATGATCGGAAAAGCAGATGGTGAGGTCGAATATCTCTCCATGGGTTGCTCATGTATTGTTGGTTAAAAAGAAAAATGATAAGGCTAGATTGTGTGTAGGCTATAGATAGTTGAACAAGTTGACCATCAACAAATTTTCATTCTCTGAGATAGATGACTTGATGGATCATCTTAAAGGAGCATTGGTATTTTCCAAGATTGACTTGAGGTCTAGATATCACCACATAAGGGTGAAGGAGAATGACATACCAAAGACTGCTTTCAGCAATAGGTATAGTCACTATGAATATGTTTTCATGACCTTTGGTGTGACCAATACTCCAGTTGTGTTCATGGAGTATATATATGAACAAGATCTTCAAACCCTTCTTGGATATATTGTTGCTTCTCCAAGCAAGTACACCCAAGTCTCTGTAGTATAGTAAAAAGGTTGTCGATCCTTAGGGACTTGTGAAGTAGATTTTGATTTCTATTACACTAATTGTTACTTGTAAATTCAAAGCTTGAATCATGTTAAATATTTGATGTGATTGGTAATTTAAACTTAAGTAACCAAAATCAAGTGAAATTTAAGAAAAACAGATATGAGAAACAGTTAGGATCAAATTTCATCAATCTCCCTCCTATGTATTCCTAATGATTCTTGCAAATGATTTCATTACTCATTGTCATTGATTTCTCTATATTCATTTAGAGCCAATTCCTTGGCATAAGAAATTCTAAGATATTTAACTCAATGAATGATTCCTCACTTCATTCAGTTAAATGTCTTGCATTAAGAATCAGAACTTATTGCAACTATTAATTTCAAAACCATTCCTGGCTTTCAAAACTAATAGGTGATTTGTTTCAAATCTAGATTTAGAAAACATTTTCCAATCAAATTCTAAATCCAAGATCAAAGATAAATGATCAGTTTATCAAAGCATTAAGAGCAGAATACAAACCACTGACACTGAATAATAGATGTAGTGTATAGATATATGAATCAAAAAGGAATACACAGGAGTTCGATGATTACATCAATCCCAACCCAAGAACTTTAGCTCTCCATAGAAGAAGAAATCACAAAATAGCAAGAAGAAAGGTAGGAGAAAGATCCTCTGAAGAACCGTGTTCCCACAAGCTCCAAGATGCTCTGTTTTGTACCTTCGTCTCTGTTCTTCTCTCCTGTCACTTCTGATCCCTCATTTTCACTATCTTCTGTCCTTTTATAGTTGCTGAAATCAAAATAGAGTAGGCAAGAAAGAGAAGGAACCGCTCAGCGCCTGGAAACAGCTGAGCGGATTGAAAAATCCTTCATCATGAAGTAACTTGAAGGGCTGAGCCCTTTAAATCTGCTGAGCGCTTGAGAAAATTCTTCATCATTAAGTAAATAAAGGGGTTGAGCGCTTCAAAACCATTAAGCGCCTAGGAGGCAGAGAGTGCTCATTCTTCTAGTACAAAACCGCTCAGCACCTTAGAACGCCTGAACGCCTCTCCTTTGCTACACTTGAGATACTCTATGGCTTAAAAGCGCTCATCCCTTTTGAAGGGCTAAGCCGTTTGTTTCTTGAAACTCTTTCTTGTTCCAATCTTCAAAATCTGCAAAATAAAGGAATTTTGATCAAAAAAATCATCACTCCATGTAATGACTTTAATTAAAGACTCATTTTTGATTCCATTTGTATTTGCCAAAATTTTATCAATATATACAAAAATTATGCTAGATAAGTGTCTTAAATTAATATTTTCATTAGACCAATTAGACACTTATCATATATTTGTGGTAGTGTTTATTAATAATATCCTTATCTATTTAAGGTCTCTAAAGGAATACTTGTAGCATTTGAGACAAGTGTTGGAAGTGTTAAAAGAGAAACGATTTATACCAAGTTTTTAAAATGTGAATTTTGGCTCAATGAAGTGAAGTTTCTAAGGCATGTGAGTTCAAAAGATGGGATATCTATGGATCCGATAAAGGTGGAATTAGTGTTACAGTGGGAGCGTCCTTAGCCAATTACACACATAAGGAGTTTTGTTGGGTTGACGGGTTACTATAAGAGATTCATAG